AGCTGCTCCCCGCTGGTCCAGGGGGCATCCTCATCCACACCTCCAACTGGAGACAAGAACCGACTGGGCATTTCAGAGAGATCCCCTGAAAGTCCTAACCTGGCCAAGTCTCACAGACCCCTCCACCCCAGCCTGGCAGACACCATAGGCACAGAGGAGGCGTTAGGGCTGCAGCTCGGGGTGGAAGCTCCAGCACCCCTCGCAGGCAAGGTCAGCACAGCTCGGCGCAGACACAGACCCATCATCACCGCCTCACGGCGCCCTCTGTGGGTCTGCTCACCACCAGTCAGTGTGACTCACGGCACCCCCTATGGGTCTCCTCCCCATGGAGTCAGTGTGACACACAGGGTCCCCTGTGGGTCTGCTCACCATCAGTCAGTGTGACTCATGGCGCCCCCTGTGGGGCCGCTCCCCATGGACTCACGGCGCCCCCTGGACTCACAGTGCCCCCCGTGGGTTTCTGAGACTGTAACTGCTCACAGGAGTAGTTACGTCCCACCTTTTTCCCCCAGAGCTGTTGGTGGTTTCAAAATGCCGACCATACAGATCGCAGCCCGGAGTGGAACCACTACACCACCAGGGCTCCTACACCAGTCATTCCAAATTCAGATGCAGCGGGTGGTCACCGGTGTCCCAGTCACCCACCTCACCTGGTGCTGGACATCCACAGTGTCCACCTGTCCTGGCTCTCAGCTGAGACCCCACTCCCTCAGCAAGGCCTGTTGCTACACCCTCCGATACCCAGCACCTGCCAATGCCCAGTCAAAAAGGGGACACAGTTGGTCACCATGTGGCTACTGCCCACCCCAGGGGCTCGTGACTAGCACCTGACGAGGGTTGAGCCTAACCTCTGGCTCCTGGTGACCAGGCGGCCCTCCCTCCCCCCTCCCCAGCAGCCACCAGAGGCCCAAGCCCCGGGGGAGGCTGGGGGGGAGGGTGCGGGGAGGGGGAGGCTGTGCACTAGCTCTAATTACATGTCCTGGAGAGAAATCCCAGTTGAAATCAGAGAGAAACGAGAAGCTGCAGTTGGAAATGTGCCCTGGAAACCACCTGCCCGAGCTGGGACTCCAGTCTCTGCCACCAGAGGCCGGGAGGCCCCTCAATGGGGCCCTGAGGGAGTCCTGGCCCAGTGGCCCTGCCTCTGCCAGCCCCCGAGTCAATGGACCCCCAAAGGAGGGCTTTCCTGGGGGTGCTGAGCAGAGACTCTGGGCAGAGGTGGTCTCAACACGGCAGTCTGGGGGGCCAGACTCCCAGGCCCCAGGGCTCCAGCTCCCAAGTCCATCCAGGACCCAGCACACCTCCCTGACTGAGCCCACTGGGGTCACGCCCACTCACCCTCCCACCCCCATTTGCTGCGTTTCATTTCTCGGCCCCTCCTTGCTCCTCAAGACCAGACGAGGACATGCACTGGACAGAGGGGGGAGGGCAGGGGTCCTGGGGGGACAGAGCGAAGTCTCTGGAGCTACTGGTCGCTTCCCAGCCCATCCGGGGTGGGTCAGGCACCAGTTGGGGGTCCCTCTGGTCCCTCCACACCAGTGTCCTCCCTTAGAACACCCCCCACCAAGCTTTCTCTGTGGGGGGGTGCAGGATCAGCTTGACACCCCAGACAGCACAGAGCATTCCTGAAGGAGGGGGACACAGGATGGAGAGCCTCTTGGGGACAAATGACAGGCCCCTGTCCTCCACACACTGCCCCGCCCAGCCCAGCCCGGCCAGCAGCTGACCAGTGCAGGCTCCCAAGGCAGCCCTGCCCTTCCTCCCAGGACCACATGGGGACCCTCCAGAGTTGGAACGGGACCCTCACACCCAGCCCAAACCCACACCCATCTCTCCAGCTGCACCCATCTGATCTGAGCCAGCCTCTGCCACCCCACTCCCTAAGGTGGGTGCAAAGTGATCAAATGCCCCTCAAGCCCCCACCAGCCCTGAGGCAAAGAGAAGCAGGCAGCACTCAGCCCTCCACGCTTCCTCGGCCCTCCACTTGCCCAACAGTACAGCAGAGGGGCCCGCCGGCCTCGCCCTGCCCGCCTGCAGCAAGGCCTCCCATAGTGACAAGGAGCCAGCACCTCACCAGCCACACCCCTCCACACCCAATTAAACCAAGCCTAATTCAAACAACAAATTAAGGAGAAGCAGTGCAGAGCTGCTCTGAGCAGACTTGGCTCAGGAGCAAGGGTCCTTGCTAGGAGCCCGCTCACTCGCCCACCCCAAGACTAGGCCCAGCATGCCCCCCCTCACACCTGCACGCAGTGCACAAGCACCCACACATGCACACCTGCACGCACACACAGGTGCACAGGTCCCATGTGCCCCAGGGTGGAGCAACAGCAAGGCTCCCCTGTGACTTGGGCCTACACTCCTGCCGAGGAATAGAGGTCTCCCACGCCTAGGGAGTCCCTTCCCAAACAGCCCGGCTGGGGGTGGGGTGCAGAGAGCGAGGGCTCTGGGGACCCACACCAACTCTGCACACAAGCCCTGACTCAGGCGGGAGAGGGAAGGAGAGGCACAGGAGAAGGGAGAGATGGTAAACCGGAGGCTTCCACAGGGAGGCAGAGAGCAAGCCAGAAAATCAGGGACAGGCCAGGGACGCTGATAGGAAGTGTGTGTTTGTGTGTGTGGGGGGGGGGGGGCCGGGGAACAGTGCGGGGGAGGGGAGAGACACAGCACCAGAAAGTGTGCCGTGGACAGGCAGAGACAGAAACAGAGAGAGAGATGAGGGACCCAAACCAAACCACACCAACACACACACCCCGCCCCCGCCAGGCACCATCAGCCTGCTGCAGCTGGGCTGAACTGCCCCTTTGGGGTTTCAGAGACTGTCCGTGTTGACAGGAGCGGGCAGCCTCCTCTGTGCTGACCTTGCGGTCAGCAGCCCAATGCTTCACCTACCTGGCTGCCAGGGACCGGGGAGGAGGGGGCACTGAGGAAAATCAGGGGCCCAGCAAGGGCTCAGGGACAGTTGCAGGAGCTCTGGGGCCCCTCACCAGGAGGCTCCTCTCAGTGGGGCTCTTGGGAAGGTGAGCCAGGGAGTGCCAGCCTCTCCTCTGCTCCGAGAGTAGTCAGCCAGCCCCAGGAGAGAGAGGGCTGCCCAAGGAACCCCTTCAGAAGGGCCCAGGACCCAGAAATCCCAGGTGTCCTGCCTAGGAGTTGCTGTGGATTACCCTCTCTTGCCCCCACAACTCCCATGCTGGGCACTGTGGGCAGCAGTGGGAGAGTCAGGGTCCTGCCACCCACCCAGCCTCCAGGTGACTATGCAGACCCAAACAAGACCCGTTTCAGTTCCTGTAGCTCCCTGTCCAGCAGGAGCTCCTGCCCCTGCCCAGGGCCACCACTCTGGGCAATGGGGACACTCTGAAAAATAAGACAGCGATCTTGAGCTCAGCGGAATTGAGTCCGAGGCGAGAAGGAGATGTAAACAGCTAGTGATTCTCAACATGGCCAGTGCGGTCAGTCCCCCATGACGCTCAACACAGGAAGAACACAGTCATCTCCATGACGCTCAACACGGCAAGAACACCATCAGTCCCCCCATGATCCTCAACACGGCAAGAACACAGTCACCCCCATGACGCTCAAGGCGGCAAGAACACAGTCAGTCACCCCTATGATGCTCAACATGGCAAGAACACAGTCCCCCCATGATGCACAACATGACAAGAACACTGTCAGTCCCCCCATGACGCTCAACACGGCAAGAACACTGTCAGTCACCCTATAACACTCAACACGGCAAGAACACTGTCAGTCCCCCCTATGATGTTCAACACGGCAAGAACACAGTCAGTCACCCTATGAAGGTCAACATGGCAAGTGTAGTCAGTGATGCTCAACATGGCAAAAACGCAGGCCATAGAAGAGTTGTAAGAGCCCCCAATAAAATTACTTAGAAAACAAACCACGGGACCTGAGTCTTCCCCATGGTGCTCAACACGCAAGCACACAGTTGGTCAGCCTTGCCCTACCACTCCCCTGTGCCTTAGGCAAAGTGGGATACCACTGCCTGTCTGTACATTTGTGTGCATGTGTATGCACATGTGTAAAGGTCGCAAGGATGTGTGCACACGTGTGTGGGTGTTGTGTCCACAGCCCCTAACTGTGAAGTCAGAGCTGCCAAATCATAAGATCAATTCCAATTCAAAGCCCCCCTCCTCCCCCGCAATCAGGGAGAGCTAATGGCAGGTGTGGGGACTGAGGAGGGGCTCAAGGCAGGAAGGCGGGGCAAGCTCACAGGCCAGGAGTGGTCCATGAGCTAGGGGCACATGCACCGACCACAGACGGGTTCACAGGGCATGGGTGTCCGACCTCCAAGGAATGGCCAGCACAGAGGAGATTATGCACACCACAAATACTACCTGGGGGTCAGAGCCCCTTGTTGCCCTGGGCCCCAGTTCTGCAGACACCATCTACACACCAAGAAGCTGGCCTGGGCCAGTCATGGCCAAGGCGGGCCCTCGGGGAAGATCCCCAAGCCGGGGGCCAGCAGAGGCCCGCTCAGAGAGAATTGGCTTGTTGGGGGAGAGCACAGCTTCAGAGGCTCAGAGCCCTCCCCCCTCCTCCATGGGACCCCAAACAGCAGGACAGGTGGCCTTGGGGCTGCCCCAGCCCACAAAGTGAGGGAGCCAGGCCAAGGGGGCTTCGGACCCTGAGACAGGGAAGGTTCGTGGGGTGGCCTCCCTGGCACTCACCCCTCCCCGCAGTCCATAACACCGGACAAATAGAGAACCAAGGCATAGAGGTGTCCACCGCCTGCACCCACCACCCATCCTGAGCCTTGTGGGTGTCCACTGCGAGGGGGGGTGGGCGTGGTGACTGGGACAGACCCATCCAACGGAGACAGCGGCTCCAGGGCTCCTGGGCCCTCCTTCAGGGAAGCTCTAGACTGCATGGGGTGCCGGGCAGCACACTCAACGAAGATGCATTCCCGCCGGCCTGGGCAGGGGCACCCGGGTCTCAGGAAAGCACGGGTGGGTCAGAGCGCAGGCCCCGCCCCGCACACCTACCCCGTGAGCACCACCACGAAGTCCATGACGTTCCAGCCGTTGCGCAGGTAGGAGCCCTTGTGGAAGACGAAGCCCAGGGCAACGATCTTGATGCCCGCCTCGAAGCAGAAGATGCCGATGAAGTAGGGCTCAGTGTCGTCCTGGGAGGTGGGGGGCACAGCGCAGGGTTGCCAGGGCCCGGGGCACAAGGGCCACACCCGCTGTCCCAACCAATGCCCAGACTTCTTCGGAGAAGTGTCCTCACCAGGCCTGGTCCTGGGCCATGTTCCCACAGGCCACAGGAGCTCCAGGATGTCCACTACATCCAATAGGTCCCCATGCCCTTCCCCTCAAATCTCGGCCCCCCAGCCGACTACAATCATGGTGACGGAGTTCCGCTCACCAGGACACGAGGATGAGTGTGATAAAAGGAGGTCACTGGGAGCCGTGGTGTCTGTAACCCTCTGAGCCTCCCACCAGTGGACGCAGCATAGTTCCCATGCTCCAGATCGGCCAGGGAGCAGACACAGGGTCAGTAACTGACCCCAAGGCCCGGGGAGAGCTGGGCCAGGATCCCGGGTGAGCCCAGTCACCCAGGTAGGCAGAGGAAATGAGATGATGAGGTTGCCTGTGGGCAGAACTGTCACCTGAGTGGCAGGGCCGGGCCTGAGAGATTGTGTGTGTTTGGGGGGGCGGGGTGTCAGGCAGACAGGCTCCTAGTGTGTGACTCACCAGCACTGACTGGCCCTGCTGGACACAAATGAGACTCACTGGGGACCTCTCAGAAGCTGGGTGCTGGAGGAGGGCAGCCAAGAAGGCCCAGGGTTATGGGGCGTGAGGGGACAGCAGACAGGAAGGGCTCAACACAGAAGGCCTTGTGAAAGCAGCATGTGCACTAAAGCAGGGGTGGGAGGGCACAGCCTTAAGAACGGGGTGATGGGAACCCAGAGGGGTCTGCCTTTCTGAAAGATGATGCTGCATCAGAGAGGGAGCTGGTGGTGAATGAGGGCTGGCCATCGTGACCCGCCCTCAGGAAGTCCAGACCACCTCTGGGCCTCCTAGTCAAATCCGCAGGCTGGCTGATGGAGGTTGCCAGTCCCCGTGGGGCTAAGCACCCCACTGGAACCCACACCCTGGCGCTGACTCATGGCCCCTGGTGGGGAGTACACACCTTCATGGGCCTCCAGGCATTAGTCTGGCTCAGTTTGGAGGGGAGGGGGGTGTCTCCTGTCTTTGAGGGAGGGGCTGCCTTGAGGGCCTGCAAACCTGAATCTGAACAGAAGCTCCTGCTCAAAGGGAGAGGGCAGGCCCAGCCCAAGAGGCAGCCAGGGGCCCCAAACCCCACCCCTATCCTCCCAGCCCCTCCTTATCCAGTCAAAGAATCTAGGGGCTGATGTGCAGATAGCCAGGGGTCCTGGGCTCACTCAGACAGGGCCTGGCACACAGCACCCTCCACTGCTCCTGGCAACATCCACTTCTCCTCCCAGCCCCCAGCACCCCCCCCCCCCCCAGAAAGCCGGAGGTGCCCCAAACAGGACAGGTCAGGCCAGGACTCCCTCCTTCCAGCACCTTCCCCTCAGCTCTCTGTCCCCAGGCAACCTGCCTCGCCCCACCACACCAAAAGTAAACCCCACAGCCTTCAACAGTGAGATGGGGGGAGGGTCAGATACCTTTCACCCTGGCCCTCATACCCACCACCCAGTCAGCCCCACACCAGCTCCCTGCCCTCACGCTGGACCCTCCCTCCCTCCCTGGGTCAGACTCTGCTCCCCTCCCTGCCCTAAGTCCTCGGGGAGCTGGCCACACCCCGAGCTGGCGTCAGAAACTGTCCACCAGTGTGGTTCAGCTCCCCTGCCTCCACTCCAAGCAGGGCCCCAAAAGACACGGGTCCTCCACCCTTCCCCCCCACCAGTACCCTGCCCCCCGGTTGCCAAACACCTTGTCCCCAGTCCCCTGCCCCTCAGCCACCCTGTGCTTGGCCTGTAATGCACCCTATAACCCCTGCTGGCATTGTCCCACCACCAAACCTCCTTAGCCTTTGGGGCTTTGAGATAACATCTCCCCTGAGCTCTCCCCATGAGCCCCACTTGGTACCATGGCTTCTTCAATGTTGGGTGCCATGGCTGCTGTGGGCAGGGACTCAGAGCAGACCAAGCACTTAGCACAGACAGACTCACTTGCTGTCTCCAGCATCAGGTCGGGGATACAGAGGGAATGGCTTCCAAAGGCTGTCCCTGCCACTGGGGAGGTCTTCTTGGGGACCTCAGGACACCTCAAGGAAGGCCCCAGGCCCTGCCCCAGGCCCTTCTCTGGCTCCCAGGCCCACACAAGGCTCAGAGAGGCAACTGGGGTGGTGGGACCCTCACTCTCACCTCCTCCTAGACACCTCTTCCCGCTGACCTGTCCCTCCCACAGACCCTACCAGGCTGGTCCCTCAAGACCTGCCTTCACGCCTCCTGCTGAGAGCAGGGTCAGTTCCTTTCTACCACCTCAGCCTCCGAAACTCAGGGCCTGCCTGGGGAGGGGCATTTCCCAGGATGGGGAATGAAAGAGTTCAGAGGTCCTGGTACCCAGGAGAAGGGCCAGGGCCAGTCCACTCCACATTGGTGCTCAGATCCTGAACCAGTGCTGCTGTTGTAAAGGCCCAGCAGGTCTCTGGGCTGGACTTTGATTCCTAGATCGAGGCCTAGTGCCTGGATGGACCTGGTTAGGGTGTCCGGCCGCCCAGGGGGTGGCAACAGGGCCTCTCAGGCCACCTTCCCATGGGGACCTGAGTAGACTACCTGTTGTCCTGGCCTCTAAGGGCAGTGTTAGCTCACAGGTCCCGCCCTTTTTCTCAACTGAGGAAGAGAGAGGAGAGGCAGCTTCTGTCCTGGGCTCTTGGCTTGCCAGCCAGGCTCTGCCTGGGGCCCTGGCAAGGCAGCAGCACCCCCCTCGCCCGCAAGCCTGGAACTCACCAGCCGCTCGGACATGGGTGTCTTGTCCCCATCCGGAAGGTGCTGCTCGAGGGCCAACACAATGCAGTTGGCGATGATGGTGGCCAGGATCATGTATTCGAACGGAGTGAGCTGGTTAAGGACTGGCCTGGCTGGGAAGCACAGGAGGAAGGGAAGGGGGCCGCCCGGGGCGCAGCGCAGCAGCCCCCACCAGGAGACCTCCGGGACCAAGTCTCCTCCGCCCCGGA